AAATCAACGAATTATGAAATAGACACTGTATGTGTCTCACTTTTTGAGCACCTCCTGATCTTGGTTATTTTTCAACTGATCGGCAAGAACGGGCCTCATAAGATTTCCTATAGCTCATCAAAAACATGCAATAGTAGACATTTTTTTTTCAAAAAAAAATTTTTTGACTAATTTTTTTAATATTGACCGATTACAGAAATAAAATGAGTTAGCCACTGTATTATATGTACAAAGTTATATATGGTTATATAAAGATTACTGAGATATCGCGCAAAAGCATCGAAAACTGTACTCACTGTACAAATGTACATCCAGAAGCAATAGTTACTATTTTCTTCCTTTCAACCTATTTTCAAAAATGGATTTTTAACAGAGAAACCCCCCCTTTTATATAAAGAGGTATAGGAGGTGATACAATTATCAAACAAATATCTCAAAGCCTTCTATTTCAAATAGATAATTCTTTGTACGAGCATGTACTAGTAATTGCTGGTTGAATAGTCAAGAACACTAATGTCTAGAAAAAAAAACTATGACGATCATCAAGATGAGAAAATTAAAATTCATCGCTCTCAAGATTCAACTCACTTGTTCTTGTTGTTTTATACAGTGGATTGTGTCTTATTATGAAATAGATATAAAAGTGATGTCACCAGAATGGGGGATTTCGCTCCAATAAGTTGTCAACCTACAAATCTCTACCAATGTATAAAAGCAACATTATGGAAGTTTCTTACTCAAATGGCTTTATTTTGATGATATCTGATTGTAGGACTACAACACTCAGTTCACTACCAAGGATAGCTCAGCTGAAAAGACGATTGAATAGAAAGGAGATCTGAGGGATCACCAACCAGTCACAACAACACATAATCAATATTAGATGTCATAAGAAGTCAGTATATGGTGTACCTATTATCACACCATGTTTGAGAAACCTTTTTTTCGTTTTACTGCGATGTCATCTCGCATCCCACGTAGTTTTATCGCAAAAACACATTGACGTCGCATTGATGAAACTTGAGGGGGACAAAGTAACATCCCTCTGACATCGCAGAGACGTCTATGCGACATAGAATGCGATATCGCAGGTCACAATTGTTACATCGGTGCGATATCTCTGTGATGTAACTGTGTTTGCTGGGGAAACACCTGCAATTGACGCTTGATCTTTTTTTTTTAATTTCTGGTTCTCACGAAAAGGAATATCCTGTAATGTTCAGAGAACATAGTGAGAACCAAGAGAAATATCTGATATACAATAAGTGACTATTCCGAAATACAAATGACATTTCCTGAAATTTAATTGACTATTCTTATACTTAGTCGCTTCAATAATAACCAAAAGTTAGCACTGGTGCCGACTTAAGTTTGAAAATTCTAGAGAGACATTATAATGACGAACATAAGAATACTCACGGATCAGTCGACAACGCTTTCCCGCCTTTTCCGCAGAACATTACAAAGACAAAGAGCGCCGAAGAGATCGTCACAGAGAGGAGAGGTATGAAGACGCTCAGGTTACACATCATCAGAGTAGCAAAAACGGTTTGCCTCATCCACATCTTCACTCTCCCTCGTAGAGTTTCGTTCATAAAGTATATCTCGCGGTTAATAATATAGTAATCATCCGTGTTCGGTACTTTCTTGATTGATTCCAATTCGCCGACACGTTCTTCTACGTTTTTATCGGCATGGAACAGCAAGTTTATAATTGCCAACGGATTCGAACCGTTTTGTTCTATGCCGGCCGATTCGTTGACCGAAGGAACAACGATGGATTCGGTTTGAGCCGGTTCAGTCAAGTTTGTCGTGTTGTAGACAATATCTATCAAGCCGAACGACGGCCTGGCGTATAAAATGCAGTGGTAGTTGAAGATGTCGAAGATTAATCCGAAGTTATAGGCCCCTAACATGGAGGTTAAACAGATGAGTATGAAGATCAACATGTGGAGAACTGAAAGTAAAGAAAAACAATTATAATTCTTAGCAGCCTGGGCGAAATTTTAATTCTGTTTTAAATTTCTGAATGTAACTCTATCAAATAAAACATCTCAGACCCAGCCAACCATCGTGCGACATCAACATCAGTGTGATGTAACCTTACATCAATGCAATATCTCGTTGACACATCTAAAATCTACGTAGATTCGATATCAAAGTCACAAGAGGTTACATCACAACCAGGAAAATATGTAATGTAGCGGGGACATTATTCAAAACTACATCTAATCGATGTTAACTGAAATATATAATATAATTATTCACATCGATATCCAAATGAAACATCTTTGTGACCTTTGAGTGTGACGCAGACATGCGCAGAACGAACACACACGCCAGACGTCATGTTTTAAACTGTGACATATGTCATTGTGACATGTGTGTATCACACCCTTGTTATTTGTTGTTTGTTGATTCTTTGATTTCGTCGTCCGACAGTCCGACTCCACACAGACTGTACCTATTTCCCTCTAAATTTTCTGTTGAAAAATCTGAGAAACTATATAAAACATATCAGCTTCAAATTAGGGATAGCAGCTACAATTATTTAGGAACGATGGTTAGTACAATCACAATATTGTAATTATTTCATCTCAATTATAGTCAAAATGGTCATGTCACGACATGCACCACGATCTCAATCTCAAGCAAAAGGTGGATAAAAGATTCCAAGGTTAGTGTATTTGATATGTATCATTATGTATAATGTATATTTGTATTGCTATGTGTCATGTTTCACTTCAAGATTACGAATAAGGGTGATTGTCATGTCAAGTTTTGTATCATCTGTTTTAACTTTCGGTAAATAAAGATTTTCTCCGTAAAGTTGAATAATTATAATTATCAATCCCACGAATATCATATCACAGGTACGGACCACTAATCGATGTCGCAGTGTGATGTATTTGTAATATAGAATGTACACTTGTATGTGTCCTGGTAGTGATTTTTTATGTGATGTCGCATTGTGGTCGCATTCTATGTCTGAACGACGTCATAGTGATGTTCCTTGAGTCGGACATTTTCACATCGCCACGTTGTATATCGGGAACATGTTTGTGACTTCAGATGCGATATCGCATGTCACAAAGTGATGTCACATAGACATCATTCATACATCTCATGGTTGGCTGAGAGGTCCGCTGACTCGTGTAAAAAAATAATAGAATCAAGAAAATGAATCTTATAATATTGTATTATTATTCAGTAAATATAGAGACTATGTAGTACACGATAGAGATCAAATTTCTTCGTTAGGTACTCTTTAAAGTTCTATCTACTCAAAAGTAGTTCTTATACTTTCAATCCATTTCTGAAAATTCTGATAGGTAACTTTTTTCCATCAAAACATTTTTGTAATCCAAAGTTTTCCGGAAAAGTATAATATGGGTTCATTTCCTGAAAATGTAGTGTGCATTTCAACATAATATTATAAAGGAGAGTAGTTGTTTTCTGTTGAAAATTGGTATACCGAGAAAGAATTAATATTTTTATCAGATAGAGAATGCGAATTCTGAAGGTATTTCTTTATATCTACCATTGTATACATTTTTTTCAAGTTCATGATATCTTATATTGGGTCTACATGCTTACTATGTATGAAATGTACATACCTTTCCACGAAATACTGACTTCGTGAGGTTCCTTTTCCACATATTGATAAAATCTTCTCGGCTTCATTCAGTGATGAATGTTTGTTGACATTTTTAATAACAATTTGACAGTCCTTCAACTTCGACTTGACCTCGATCAAACCTCGATGTACTTGCGACCAAAACAAAAACGCTCTTCTACAGGGTGTTCAACATCGACATTTTGGTTTCATATACCTAATACCGGGTGACCAGTTATATTCTGACCCATTTCAAATGCTTATATCTCTGAAACCATTCAAGTTATCGTTGTGCAGTTTGGACTAGTCTATTTTGATATTATTCAAGTTTTTTTGACAGGTTCACCTTCTCTCTTGAACATCCGGTTCTACCGGAAACAAACTAGCCATTATTCAGGTATAGGGCAACTTTTTTATTTCATTGAATCACCCTGTATATTTTTGCACATTCAGAAAGACTGGTCTTTTCTCTTTCTAACAATGCATAACAAGTTATGTTTTCTCAGAAAACTATCAGAGTTATAACTGTTTGAAACAACTACTGCATGTGGAATGGTTTAATGAGATTTTGCAATGTAACCAAAGTCGTCTTTGGAAATCCTGATCACAACACATGAAATGCCAGATTAGATGTGCCAAATAAAGATTGTCGAGCATTTGTACTTTCTTCGAGTTGAAAAAATGTTTACTCTGACTGAAAAAGCAAATGAACTCATCATAAATCTGCATCAGATTTATACTCAATATACGGTAATTCAGCATTTCAGGATAACATCCTAATATGCAGTAGATGCTTCAAAGAGTTATAACTCTGATAGTTTTCTTAGAAAACATAACTTGTTATACATTGTTAGGAAGAGAAAAGACCAGTCTTTCTGAATGTGCAAAAATATACAGGGTGCTTCGATGAAATAAAAAAGTTGCCCTATACCTGAATAATGGCTAGATTGTTTCCGATAGAACCGGAAGTTCAAGAGAGAAGGTGAACCTGTCAAAAAAACTTGAAAAATATCAAAATAAACTAGTCCAAACTGCACAACGATAACTTGAATGGTTTCAGAGATACAAGCATTTGAAATGGGTCAGTTATTTTCTTAGACTACAAAGAACAGGACACCGTATAGCGAATAATAGAATGGAGAAAAAAAATCGAATGTTGAACCATATCACAATCAACTGATTTAAGAGCCGAATGGGATAAAAAATATTTTCCATCAAACTGAAAAGCTCTGCATTTAAGGTAATAATTATGAAGTTTCGGAGACATTTAACATAAAAAACCTGCTTATTTTGCAACTACATCAGCTTTCAAGAATAATGTAAAAAAATCGGACCACCCTGTATTAGGAACAGTTTTTGATAGAAATTAAAGAAAAAGTCAATAGAAGATTAAAATTGCAATATAATTCGTCATAACAAGTATAAAGAATAATAAATTAAATAATTATACATTCTATTTTGAATGAATTGGTGAGATGATTAGTCTTGAAAAAGTGAGTGACAATTTTTATGTTTTTGTACTAGACTTGAGTAACCTCGTCTTGATCGTGACAATGAATAGCTATTTCTTCAGGACCTCCATTCAATATTTGAGTGACCGCTTTTGCTCCAGGAAATGCTTGTACTACTGCTTCGTGAATTTTCTGGCTTTTTGTCTAAAAACAATGTGGAATACTATTAGTTATGGTTCCTCTCATGCATTTTTAGTGTTTTTTTTTTATTTTTTTTATTTTCGCGAAGGTGGTTGAAATCTTTTACAGACATCATATGGGTCCAATCCCCCATATGATAGTGTGGGAGTTCCCTCCATGGTATACCCACTAAACACTCCACCCCGTTGTAGGCTCCGACGACACTTAGGCCCAGTGGCCCATTGTATCTCACCTACATGCCGTTATCAATTTTACCACATACGACTCATGGTGCCTATTAAGGGCCACTTCAAAATGAAAGACCCTTTTCGTTCAGGTTCCTGAAGATTGCTCTTCCGATCTCTGTTCTCGTCTACGAAGAAGGCCAAGTTTTCCTTCTCCTACGACTGACGGGGGAAGGGGTTGGTCCAGCCCTGTGGTGCCCTCTGCACAGGGCTAAGGCTGTTTACTCTGGCATGTCGCCCTGTTTCCCAGAGGCCCCGTTAGCGACACCATTCCTCGGTGCCATCCATCCATCGCCACGGGTTCCCACAGCTTGGATTACGTTGCCAGAGCCTCGTTGACCAGTCCTCGACCACCTAGACAAACATCAGCAAATCGCCCCATCCCTGCCACAGATGTCCACAAATTGTCCCATCTGGCAGAAGATAGCAAGATGGTCCCAAAATGCTTCATCTGTCAAGCGGCCGCGGCCTGCCTTCCCCACACCACTTGATGGTGAGGTTGGGCTTGGAGGGAAAGAGGAAAAGAGAGGTTGGCCAAGAAAGGCCGATAAAAAGATTGAAAACGGAAGAGAGAAGAGGATATCACCCAAGACGAGTTGAAGTATGGGGAATATCCGGCTAGGGTACCTCGGGTTCACCATTCCCGTACTCACAATTTGTGAGCCCCTGAGGGGATTGCCAGAGCCTCGTTATCAATCCGCGGCCACATAAGCAGATGTTCACAAATTGCCCCATCCTCGCACTCAGATGTCCACAAAACTGTCCCATCTGAGTGATGACAGCAAAGATGTTCCCAAAATGCTCAATCTGCCGAGCAGCCGCGGCTTGTCCTCCCCGCACTATGGTGAGGTTGGGCTTTAGGGGAGAAGGAAAAAAGGAGAAGTGACCAAGGGAGGCCGATGAAGAAAAAGATTGGAAACTGAAGAGTGAAGAGGATACCATCAAAGACAAGTTGAAGATTAATGAGTATCCGGCTAGGGTACCTAGGGATTGCCATTCCCGTACCAAATCGTGAGCCCCTGAGGGGTTTTTAGTGGTTAGACTAAGGGTTCCTTGCCCCCCTAGAAATTATATTCAATAAATTTTCAATACTCGCCTCGTTACTCTCCTCTTCATTTTTGCTTTCGATGGAAATGGAATTGAATTGAAAATCAACCACTCGTAGACATCTCAAAATCGTAATGGAGATTTGCGATGTCCAAAGAAGCACCCCAAAGCTGAAACTGTAGTTACAGATGGCGCACATTTCCCAAAACTCAGTGAAAACTTGGTCTCCATCCAAAGTGAAGTAGTTCATCAACTTATTACAGCTACAAAAAACATTCAAAAGTTAAGTGTCTGGAGGTGAAAAGATCGATAATTCATTCAAAAGTGGCCATTGAAAATGATGGTACGAAGGTACGAAGGTACGAAGGCCTGGAAGGGACACATAAAATAAAAAAAATAAAAACTCTTCAAAATTCTGAGTTATAACTCGGAATTTTACATCAAAATTCCGACTTATATCTCGGAATTTTAAAATTCCGACTTATATCTCGGAATTTTAAAATTTCGTGTTATAACTCGGAATATTGGATGTAAAATTCCGAGTTATAACTCGGAATTTTAAAATTCTGTGTTATAACTCGGAATATTGGATGTAAAATTCCGAGTTATAACTCGGAATTTTAAAATTCCGTGTTATAACTCAGAATATTGGATGTAAAATTCCGACTTATATCTCGGAATTTTACATCCAATATTCCGTGTTATAACTCAGAATATTGGATGTAAAATTCCGACTTATATCTCGGAATTTTACATCCAATATTCCGAGTTATAACACGGAATTTTAAAATTCCGAGTTATGAAACTCGGAATTTTACATCAAAATTCCGACTTATATCTCGGAATTTTAAAATTCCGTGTTATAACTCGGAATATTGGATGTAAAATTCCGAGTTATAACTCGGAATTTTAAAATTCCGTGTTATAACTCGGAATATTGGATGTAAAGTTCCGAGTTATAACTCGGAATTTCACATTGATGAAATAGGTACGAGCAGTGGAAAAGCGCCCGCCTCACGACCGCGAGGTCGTCTGTTCGAATCCCAGTTTGGGCAAGGAACTTTCCTAATTTTTTTTTTTTTTTTTTTTTTTTTTTTTATCGCTTGGAGCGCACGAGAGGGAATCCCTATAATGTTCAAAGAACATCGTGCGTTCCTAGGGAGGATAGGGACAGGAGGTAGGTATTGGAATTTTTTTTGAACTTTTGGAGATTATATGTTGTTGGGAACACTTCCACAGGCAATGAATTCCAGAGCCTAGCCGTTCTATGGATGAAGGAGTCTTGATAAAGTGCTGTTCGACATCTTTCGAGGTTGACAACGAAAGGATGTGCTGACTGGGCTTGTCTAGTTCGTCTGATTGGTATTGCTAGTGAAGGGATGATAGCAGAGATTTCCGAAGAACATTTCCCGTGGAAGTATCGATAGAAAAGTGAAAGGTCGCCGACCTTTCTACGGTGTTCTAATGATGCCAAAGAGTGAGTGAGTGTGGCGTCACCCACCAGGCGAATGGCTCTTCTCTGGATGGAATCTAAGAGCATCAGCGTATGTTTTGGTGCTGAACCCCATATGTGGGAACAGTATTCTAGAACAGGCCGTATCTGCGCTTTGTAGATCATGAGAAGCTGTTGAGGTGTAAAGTAGTTTTTCGCACGGAACAAGAATCCGAGTTTTTGGGAAGCAGCTTTTGCGATGGATCTGACATGATTATCCCATGAAAGAGTGTTGCTGATGGAAATACCGAGCATAGATATGGTGGGCTTGGTGGGGATGGTGGAGCCAGACATTACAATATCGGGCATACTGAGTTCCGCCTTTCTAGAGAAAATGCAGGCTTGAGTTTTGGTGGCGTTGAATTCAACTAGGTTGTTTGTTCCCCAGGCTGTGATTTCAGCAAGATCTTCATTGACAGCATTGGCCTGCCTGCGCCGTGAGTTCTTAGTTTCCTGGGAAGAAATGGGAATTCTGGAAGAGAAAGCAGTATGGAGGGTACTATCATCTGCAAAGCTGTGGATGGGGTAAGTTGTTACTCCCAACAGATCATTGATATGAAGCAGGAATAATGTTGGTGCCAAAATTGATCCTTGTGGAACGCCGGAATTGATGCCAATGGTATCAGACGATACACCGTCCACTACCACGTGAAGCGATCTGCCTGAAAGAAAACTCGATAAGAGATGGCATAGCTGAGGTGGTAAGCCGTATGATGGTAGTTTGCGGAGGAGTCCTTCGTGCCAAACACGGTCGAATGCTTTCGATATGTCCAACGCGACAGCTAGAGATTCCCCGTGTTTTTCTATTGAAGATTGCCATAGATGGGTGACGTAGGCAAGTAGATCTCCAGTAGATCTTCGGTGGCGAAAGCCGTATTGTCTATCATTGATGATTCCTGAGCTCTCCAGATATTTGATAAGCTCAATATTGATGGCTTTCTCCATCACTTTGGAGATTACTGATAACAGGGCAATGGGCCTGTAGTTGTTGGGCAGGTTCTTGTTCCCTTTTTTGGGGATTGGTTGGACTCTAGCTGTCTTCCAGCATGATGGAAAAATACCCGACCTGTACGAGATGGTAAACAACTTGCAGAGAATCGGTGTTAATTCTGGTGCACATTTTTTGAGGATAATGGGTGGAATTCCATCAGGACCGTTAGCTTTATTCGTTTTGAGACCAAGCAAAATTCGTCTGATAGTGCGTTGACGGAAGACGATTTCAGGCATTCGACTCTCAACGGGTGGAATGTCTGGCGGCACTTTTCCTTGGGAATCTAAAGTAGAGTTTGCTGCGAAAATTTCTGCAAAAATATTCGCTTTCTCCTGCGATGTTGTTGCTAATGTGCCGTCGGATTTGGACAGAGGTGGAAATGAACTGTTAGTGAAATTTCTTCCGACCGCTTTAGCAAGGGACCAAAACGAACGGGAGCCATTGGGACAATCTATGAGTTTCGATCTGATCTTGTTTGATTTACGAATCAAATATTGTAAAGTTTCGTTGCATCGGCTGGGGATAGTCCTGCACGATTCACTGTTGCGTTCCAATTAACAGTGCTGCTCATAAAGTGGCGCATGGAGTTAGTAACAAAGCCTACACAGAACACAGAGGAAGATATGATGAGGATGTGGTTGTGAGCATCAGGGAAGAAGTAGGACGGTGTATGTAGGTGGGTGTGGAAAACTACCAGCTGAGCGTGAGAGCGGGCCAATGCTGCTTAGTGGACCTCGGTCTCTTAATAGGGGGTTAACGAGAATAGCTAGCAGGCCAGCGACTGCAGCATATGGTAGTGAGTACATTACTTGCCTCCAAATACAACCGAAAAACTCCGAAAGAGAGCTGAAAAGGGTGTTAGCCAGCTCTCTTAAGCGAACCGCATCACTCATTATACACATTGGGGCTTGCAAAAAGGTCCCATTAGGGACTAGTTGCTGACGTGCAAACGTCCCCCACTTCTACCAGTACCAGAGTAGGCAGGATGTCAGCTGGCATAGTGCAACTGATGAGGCTTGACAAACAGAAATAGTCCGTCTTGCATCAGCTGACAATCTATTCAAAACAATCCCTTTGAATCTGTTAGTCTTGAGATTCTATAGGCTTTTTAATGATATATAGATGGTTAATGAAGGTATAGTTGTTAGAATAATGAATTGGCCATATATTTTGTATCATGCGGGGGCTATTTTATATATATTCTATGGATCATTAATGTTATGAAGTTGTTGTTACTGTACCGTGATTGTCCTGTGAAGTTTTCAAAATTAGAGCAAAATGATTGCAAGCCATCATTTACTGGAATTGCAGCAATTATGCTCAGAATAGTCATCATAGCTGATACGAATATCACTGGGTAGACGAACGACCATGAACCAGACATACTGAAAAATTAAACAAAATTATAAACCTATACATTTTGAGGTTTATCAGATTCAAAGAAATAGATATTTATTATACAAGGAAAAGTGATTATATTCTTGCATTTATAGATGTGAATTGTAAGTGGTTTTTCTCGACGCGAATCGGAAAAGGGACAGAAAGCAAACATTCCGAGGTTGAGACATATATAAAATGGTTACTTTTCCAAAACGCTAGCTCCGACAAAAATTATACTAACTAGACCGAATTTGGTTCCACAAAGCGTGTATGAGCCTGCGCATTCAGGACCTGTCATATATCTTTCTCGCTCTTATGTTTCCGAATACCAGGAGACATGACACTCGATGTCATGAATGGCAGTTTGGGAGTTCCACCTTAGATTCCCAGGAAAGAGTGCCATCAGACATTCCACCCCTTGAAAGTCAAATGGCAGAAATCGTCTTTCATCAACGCACTATATCAGACGCATTTTCCTTGGTATCGAAACGAATAAGGCTAACGGTCCTGATAAAACTCCATCCATTATTCTCAAAAAGTGTGCACCAGAGTTAATTGCGACCGATTCTCAGCAAAATATTGACCATCTCGTGCAAGTCGGGGAAATTTCATTCTGCCAAGAAAGAAAACAAGAGCATGCTCTACAACTATAGGCTTATTGCCCTATTATCAGTCATCTCCAAAGTGATGGAGAAATCCATCAACAATGAGTTTATCAAATATCTGGAAAGCTCAGGAATCATTAATGATAGACAATATAGATTTCGCTACAGATGATCGACTGGAGATCTACTTGCCTTTGCCTACGTCACCCATATATTGCAAGCTTCATTAGAAAAACATGGTGATTCTCTAGCTGTCGCGTTGGATATATCGAAGACATTCGACCGTGTTTGGCACCAAGAACTCCAGAAGAATATCCCGATCCTGATATTGGTTTCGTTTAATTCATGTACCAAATTTTAACTCTGTATTTAATATGGCAGATTGGATTTTTGTCAGAATCCACAAATCAATCTGTATGTATACAAGAGCATTAGAATGAAGAGTTACACTTTAGTGCCTATCAAGAAAAATATTCGAACTCTCTTATTCCCGCTCCGTTCGAGAATATATAGAAATGTATCACTTTTCTGATGAGATATAAATCGAATCATATCGCGAAATATTCTGGTATGATGAAGAAAATACAACCGGCTTTTAGCGTCATATAGCGTAGATGACAGTACCTAGACACTTACATATCAGTTTTGTAACCTTTCCCTCCTCTTCCACATAGTACTACAATGGCTCCAAACACCGCTGAAACGACCAGCGACAGAAGAGGTACGAATAAAACGGTACTGCATCTTGCGTAACTCCCAAACGTCGTTCCTAATCGCTTCATGACAATTTTCCCACTTAGCGTTTCATTATTTAACCAAATTTGATCATCCACTTCGAAAATGTCCGTGAGTCCAGGGATCTTTTTGGCTGTCGACCAGTCTATCTGTGATTTGTTGAGTTGTAAATCCGAAGACTTCGTTGTCAAATGAGGTCCGCTGATCGTTTGAGCAGCAATTTCGGAGCTTTTATTCGTTATTTCTGTATCGGAGTTTCTTATTGTGGAATTTGATTTGAATACGATTTCTTCTAGTTCCAAATTTGGCGAAGCGTAGAGGATACAGCGGTGATCGAAATTTTTTAATAAGTTATCGAAGGCGTATGCTGATATCAAAGAACATACGAAGGTTGTCAAAAATATTAATGCATGGAGAACTGTAACATAAATTGAAGAATTTAATAAAGTTAGCAAAATTGTTCGACAACTATCATTAAAGAGGTCAATAAAGACTGTGTACTAGACAATAACATAATAAGGTCTATAACTAGATATTATTAAAATTAATTTAATAACTTTTGATTTTGCAGTACAAGATATAGATACAGATAGTATGAGTACATTCATAGAGTACTCATAAAAGCACATGATGGAACATTTGAATGTTCTCAGAATATTTCCACAATACACTTTGGATATTCCGCATGCATCACGACATTGTATGGCCATCTAAAATGGACTGAATTTCACATTCTCTGAACATTCTCGGAATATTCTTGAGATGCTCTGATGAATTCATTATCAAAATATCATAATCATAATATTTATATTCATTTGAATATTCTCAGAATATTATACAAATATTCTAGGAACGTTATATGAATATACAAGTGTTCTAAATATTCTGAAAATATTCCTGGGTATATATAGGTATATTATACTGGAAGGAAATTGAAGGAGGATGCGAACCTAATACTCTCTTGTGATTATAAAATCACAAACCTGACACCTTTACCAGTGAGCTACGAACCTTTTCAATGAATTAATGATATATGAATGACAAGATGTCAACACTTCATTAGTAGGATAATACGCAGAGCCCCTATATAATTATAGATTGGGAAAACTGTGTGATTCAATACAAGAATGATAACATCAATATCATAATTTGATACGGTTTTGTATATTCTCAGAATATTCTAAAAGTATATTCTGAGAATATGTTGAATTGAATGTTCATATAGAATATTTGATTGCAGCATGAAAATACGCAATGATCATTTTTCTATCAGAATATTCTGAAATGAGTATATTATTATTTGAACGTTGTCATCCTAGAATATTCCATTTCAGAATCTCATATAGGAACGTTTTCTTGGAATATCATCAGAATATTCGCAAGGAATATTCCATGAATGTTCACAATATCCTGAAATAGTTCTTTTGTATCTAGAGCGCGAAATGGTACTTTGGTGATCAAGATCTGATTTTTTGACGAGGCGTAGCCGAGTTGAAAAAATAGTCGAGATAACAAAAGAATTTCGCGCTAGAGTTGCAAACAACATTTTTTCTACAAACGTCAAAAAATATAGTTCTAAAGTAAAAATATGCTCAGCTTGATATTAAAAATGGTGTTGAACTAGCTTAAAAGGCCTCCCCCTATCCTCCGTGGGTACGCACGATGTTCCACGAACATGATAGGAATTTCCTTTTGTGCGCTCCAAGAGATAAAACAAAGTTATTGTTGAACATTCAGAAATGAATGATTTCGTGGATGTTTGCTCGATTGAGGGCCATAAAGTTGAAATATGAATATCTCATATATTTTACATAACAATGCGCGAAGTAGGTACTTCGTGCACTGTTTTACTTCGTTTGTAGAAAAATATTATTTTTCTACAAACGTCAAAAAATGACAAGGTTCGCGCATTGATAACAAATTGCAAAGTGACACATTTTTCAATTTCCTACGTTACCATGATACCTTGCACAAAACAATGCGCGAAGTAAAACAGTTATGTAAAATATATGAGATATTTATATTTCAACTTCATGGTCCTCAATCGAGCAAACATCCACGAAATCATTTATTTCTGAATGTTCAACAATAACTTTGTTTTATCTCTTGGAGCGCACGAAAGGAAATTCCTATTATGTTCGTGGAACATCGTGCGTATCTACGGAGGTTAGGGGAGGCCTTTTAAGCCAGTTCAACACTATTTTTTATATCAAGCCAAGCATATTTTTACTTTAAAACTATATTTTTTTACGTTTGTAGAAAAAATGTTGTTTGCAACTCGAGCGCGAAATACTTTGCTCATCTCGACTATTTTTTAACTCGGCTACGCCTCGTTAAAAAAATCAGATCTCGATCACCAAAGTAGCATTTCGCGCTCTAGATACAAAAATAACTATTCCTGAACATTCTGGAATATTATATCTGTACGTCCATAATATCATTAAAATCTTTGCATGGAACATTCTATAAATATTCGCAAAATCATAAGAATATTCTACAAGATTACATTTCCGCAGCTTGTAAGAATATTCATGGAATATTTATGGAATGATCCATGCAAATATATAATATTTTAATATTATGGAAGTACCATCCTAGAAGATCCTCAGATATAATATCCCAGAATGTTCTGGAAATGATATTTTTGTGGACATTATTCCTATTATAGTAGGTATACCTACCAACTTATTATTATTTTCCCAGCAAAAAAAAAACGAACTTACCTAATTTTCTTTTATTGATATTGATTGAAATAAATGCCTATGTAAGCTCCTATTTTGGTCAAATAGGAATTGGAAATAATACAAAATATCAAAGGAAAAAGGTACCACAAACCCCTTGTTGCGCGTCACTGGATCAAATGACCAAAGTTTTATGTATCGCCAAAAATTAAGGTTTCTGAAGAGAAAATCGCACAGGTACCAAAATCGATGAGAAATTCAGTCATTGTAATTTTTATTTATTGAAAAAAATGATTTCAGCACTATAGGCACTTGCGGATTGCGGATCTTAAAATATGTTCATATTTCTTCATCAATCAACTATGTATAGTGATAGTGCTATCACTTGTGGAGCGTCGATCGTCTATTTTACTATTTCTAGGATACCTTATTACACTGTCTTACATCAGGGCATGATGAAAATGAAATCGATTTATATTATTCCAACAAAAGCCCGAGTTAGGAGATGAAGGTATCTTGAAACAAATGAAAATCACTAACCTTTCCATGCCGAACTGACTTGATTCGTGTCTTTTTCCACATATTGATAATACATTTCTCGCGACTTTCTATTATTACCTTATCATAAGGATTATTCAGATCCATCGATCGCGCATTCAGTGTAATGAAAAAATAGTGATGGCAGTAAATAAAAATAAACATTACAACATTTCAGGCATTGACTTTGTTATGGTTACATTCACATCGCTTGCGGCGGCACACCCAGGGACGCAGACAGGCAACCAGCTATACAAACAAAAGAGAAATTATTCACTTCACGCTTCACCATCGCTGTGCTGTTAGGTGGGGCAACGAGTATTAAAACAAATAGATGACGATAATGTGATACCAATGTACAGTCATCTTCAGAAAACATGTCGCAAATGGACGATGATAGCATTTTTAATAACTACTGCAATAAGAGCGCTGACACCGTCCAACCGCGACATGATCTCTGAAGACGACTGTACAGTCGTATTCAATAAAAAAGCGTACAAGTCTTGCAAAAAAGTTCGTCATCCTCAGCAAACACAGGGCAGTAACTGTAAAGTACTATGGAAGTAATTTTGCAACTAATATCCGCGTGCGATGTACGAAAAACATCTCCTCCCGCTCTTATTTGCAGCGAAATGTCCGCGACATCAAGTACGCATTTCATTAATTGTGTTGTTCAAATTGAGATTTGATAAAATAGCCCAAATGAAACATATATCCGTATAGTCACTGTGGCAGTTTTTGAGACAATAAATGTCGTATTTACAATCACATTGGGCACATTCATGCGAGGATTCTCTGAGACTTCTCAATTTTATTCCTTTTGATATGGTGACTTTCTCTAATAGACTTCTTTGCGATGTTTCTCGATGACGATCTTTTCAACTAGAAATTCAACACATTTTGTGGTAATGACATTGTGGTTGTTTATTATTATCTTGAAATAATAATCACTCCATCTTAGATTTTTTGTTAACAAAGCGAATTCTCAATGTAACCACGTTCAGAACAAATATGCGTAATCAAACTGAAAACATATTTCCATTTGCAATTTGGGACTTCGCGAAACTGCCATGTGATGTAACGTGTTTGCTGGGTAGTTCTAGGTGTGTAAAACTGTGCTCAGCCAATGCTTTGTGTTTTTGAGAACTTATCGACAACTTTACTGTCAACATTTGGTAAACAATCATTCCCAATAGCCCGTTTTACGAATAGGATGACGAAAATTTCTCTCTGTAATATATAGGTACATGTACGCTTTTTTTTTAATACGACTGTACGAAGCGTAGAATGGCCACTGTTATGTTGTCTCATTATTGTAGCTGTCCTTGATGTAGATAAAACATCTAATCTGACATCAAAAACCGCAAGTGAATTGATCAATTCCTTCGTTAAATACAGAGGTTGTCGAAGGAAAGTCAAATTCGGAGTGGTGGACTTATATATGTACAGTGTGATGAGAACTGCTCATTTTCAAGTTCACGCCGAACATTGAGACTTTGTCAGTCACCAACCAGACTCTTTAAAATGATTTTTTTATGTGAAATATGACGTGGAATCACTTCTTGACTTTTTTCGCGTTTATGCATTTACAACCCTGTATACGTGTTTTTATTTCTGTCCTGAAGAAACTGGATTTCATTATACGGGATGTTGAAGTTCTTCTGTATTTTCTTTTTGAATTGATGTCTTCACAAAAACAAAATCTCCCTCAGTTATATGATCAACTATAATTGGCGCCCCAATAAATAATTCAGAATGAGAATTCAATATCAGATGACTCAAGAAAAATAACACCCACAATAGCCTTGACGAATCTATCAATATTAAATATTCATACTGCCGATAATAAACGTGGTCACCGAATTTCGAGTCGATAGCTTTCATTTCGACAAAACCAAATTTAAGCGATCGAACTTCCATCCCCGTTACTTACCTATATCACGAAAAGACGAAAAACACGAAGGGGTAGGTATAATATTTTCAAGTTTTCTAGCGATCGTTGAAGTTAGACATGTTTAATGAGATACCTTGTATACAGGGTGTCCGGCAAACCATGGATCATACTCTAGCTGGTGATAAACAAGTTCATGCATAACCTATAATTGAACCACAGCTTTACCTCACTAAAAACCTCACGTTTTACGTGGTTTTGGAACTTTTATAAAAATTGAATTCTCTACTAGTTGATATATGGATCGTTTCATCTTAATTCTTATTTTCAATAAATATTACTGAAAAGCTGTTGTTACAATCGCAGGAGGCAGATTTACGCTCTACAAATGTTCATTATAGAAAATCATGATGGATCGAAGGATCCGAATCGGAGAATATATTTTTTTGTAGACCGTAAATGACTGCTATAGAAAAACTGTCTTCTGTAATTGTTACAACTACTATTCAGTGATATTTATTATAAATAAGAATAAACATGGAATGCTTCATATTAGCTTGGTACATGAAAATAGGAATAACATGTTTTATACAGCGTGTCTACTTTTAAGTTGACTACATATGGAAAACTTTTTTATTATTAGGTAATTTTACAAAAAGAAGTAGGTAATTCTTCATAAAAAGTTCTGCATGGTTTAAAACCGAAAATGTAATTATCAGATATACATTTTTTTCAGTTGTATACGAGGTATGTCAAATAACATTAATTTTGTTCAGGAGTAAAAAGTACCTTTATTTTCGACAATATCCAGAATTGTAATCGGACAAAGTTGACTAGAATTGAAAACTACGTTAAAATATCAGATTACATCTGTCTACGAAGAAAATTAGGTTTTAATATTGTTTAAGATTTTTTGTCATACGACTGGAAAAATATGAAATATTTGCATTCTCGGTTTTAGGCCTTGCAGATCTTCTTATGAAGAATGACTTTTTTCCGTACAATTGATAATAAGAAAGTTTTCCATATGAATCGATCAGAAATTGTAAAAAATAGAAAAACCTGGTTCTCATCGTAGATAGATTCAATTAGATATTTGAAGGTAGTTTTCAATTCTAGTGAACTTTTCTTCATAATAATTTTCGATATTGTCAAAAATAAAGATATATTTACTCTCGAGCAAAATTAATATTTTTTGGCATCCTACCTCGTATACGACTGGAAAAATAAGATATCTGATATCTATGTACGGTTTCAGGCCATGCAGAATTGTTCATGAATAATCACTTTTCTCCTAAGATTATAATAAGAAAAAAGTTTCCTATATTTGTGGCCAACTTATTGTAGACTCGCTGTATAAAAGTTCCAATATCTCGAAAACCGTGATAGGTTCATAATGAAGTATGAGGTCAAGTTGAGGTTTTCTGATAGGTTATATGAACTTGTTTATCACCAGCTATTTTTTTTATGTTCTGGTTCCCACGAAAAGGGAGGGGAAAAGGGGAGAACATCGTGAGAACCAAGGAAAATAAGGTAGGAATTGGGGTTCTTCTTAAATTTCTGGAGGTTATATGCCCCGGGAAACACCTCCCTTAGCAATGTGTTCCAGAGCCTCGCTGTTCGTTGGATGAACGAGTCTTTGGAAAGAGATGTTCTGCAGGTCTCCAAAGAGACCACGAAGGGGTGCGAAGCCTCAACTCGACGGGTTTATCTCGCGGGGACTGCCAAGGAAGGAAAAATTGTTGATATTTCAGAAGAGCATCGTCCATGAAAATATCTATAAAATAGAGCCAGATCGCCAACTTTTCTACGGTGTTCCAGAGAAGTGAGTGAGTTTGTGAGCAAAGGCATCACCCACGAGACGAATTGCCCTTTTTTGGACAGAATCCAACAGTTTCAGGGTATGTTTGGGTGCTGCACTCCAAATATGGGAACAGTCTCCAAGGAGAGGTCGGACCTGTGCCTTATGGATAATAAGCAGCTGACTGGAAGTAAAATAGCTCCTGCCCGAAACAGAAAACCCAGTTTTTGGAATGGACTTTTAGCAAAATTGATCTCACGTGATTTTCCCAAGAAAGGTTATTGCTGATAGTAATACCAAGCATCGAAATGGATGTCTTCAAAAGAGTAGAGTATGATCCATGGTTTACCGGACACCCTGTATAGTAGTGGAACAAAAATGATATAAATTAGGAGGGGTGAAAGAACTTACAGTCACACCACCACATAAGAAATTTCAATAATGACAAGATATCAAGAAAAGGTAACTGATGTTAGGATGTTAGGTGCTGAGGAAATGGACAATTCAAAGTTTGACTTGAATATTTCAGCTAAGAAGGGACTAAGGTTTGAGCCCATGGCTAGGCCTGATTTTAGATAATAATAGGAATTATTGAAAAGAAAAATATTTTGTTTAAGAACAAGATCTACTAAAGAGCAGATATTCAATATATGATGGGTGGGAAGATCAGAATTATTGAAAAGTAATTGTCGGACCAGAAGTAAACAATCATCAGGTTCAATGCTGGGAAATAAATTTGAAACATCAAATGAGACTAAATAGGATCAGCAGGGATATGGATATTTGAAATTTTCTTTGTCAGTTCCAGTGAATTTTTAACAGAAAAGGGGTTAGAGAAATTCATGACGTTAGGGAGAATAGAACTTAGCCAGGAAGCTAATTTAGAGGCTGGAAAATTAATATAAGAAACAACTGGTCTGATGGGGATGTTCTGTTTGTGAATTTTCGGCAGGCCATACAGTCTAGGAGTTGCAGGGTTCATAGTAGTAAGATAGCATTTATTTGCTTTCAAAAAAGTGATGATGTCATTCAAATCATTGAAAGTTTTTCTACAAGTGGCTTGAAATTTAACAGTAGGATTAAATCTAATTCTAGTAAAATCATCATTGGAAAGAAAAAGTTCTACTTTGGCAATATACTCAGTTTTGTACATAATGACTAAAAAATGATATAGTAAACATTAGTAACCTGCTTCTAACCCCTCAATACGCGCCTATCGCTCGCTCTAACGTTCTAACCCGAATATTGTTAACTGTTAACTTTGGCAATATACTCAGTTTTGTTCATAATGACTAAAAAATGATATAGTAAACATTAGTAACCTTCTTCTAATCCCTCAAAACGCGCCTATCGCTCGTTCTAACGTTCTAACCCGAATATTGTTAACTGTTATCCTTTTCAAGGATTCCAATCTCACGCAAGCGTTCGGCCTCAGCAGGATGATCCATGCGCTGGCCAGCAGTTTCAGCATCAGCAGTAGTACGTATCGGAATTCCTGAGTGCTCTGTCGCGACATTGCAGTATTTGGAGAACAAGTTTTTGTGAAATTTCTTGTCCGCTGACAAGGTGAAAAAAAAAATGAGTGGGAAAAAAAGAAGATCTCATGTTAAATGACAGGAACTCAAGCAGGAGAAAACATGGTTATAATTTCAGGCAACAGCAGCTATATCGGTGGTAAGTATTTTCTAACTATGATATCCTAATTTATACGTATCCAGCTGGATTTTCTACGAAAATATGAGACTAATATTCAATTGGTTTATAATATGCATGTATATTAATATATTTCCAATTTCCATGCGGAAAATGACTGGCTGTATAGGTATAGTGTGACCTACATTTGGTCGTAACGTCGTAGAGGGTGAAAAAGGGGTGTAGGATGTTCTCAGCTGATTTATCGAATGTGTGGGTGTCTGTTTACTCCTGCTGGATATAGAGTAACGAAAAGTGGTTCGACCCACATAATATGATGTCCTTGTTGACCCGGTAAAACATTATCAATTTTTGCTTTTCCGGGAGCATCAGTATGAAAAATATCCTCTTCCATATTTTCATCGACTTCAATTTTTGGTACCTGGGTATCATAAATAGTTGATAAATTCAACATAACTTCTAATTTATAAAAGCTGCTCAATTCACCACCAACTGTTATACAACCGAAAATTTTGGATTAAATAGATCGAATATTTTCTAATTGTTGGTGGATCATATATATTTTTATAATTGGATTAATAAAGTTGTCAAACGTTTTCACTGGGAATTTGATATTGATAAAGAGTTCTCACAAATATGTTGAACGATCATTTTCTACTTCTGTTATATTTCAAGCCCTAAAAAATATTGTTATAAATCCTATAAACTTGCTATAATATATCAACAATTGAAAATCATTGATAGACCCTCTCAGATAATAATGTTCTTATGCCATTTTCGATTCACGAGGGGTGAAATAGCTATCTATATACATCTATATCTATATACCGGAAAAACTTTTACTTATCAATAAATTATTTCGAAATTCGACTTGGGCGTTAGGTTTCGATGGGCTTATTTGTTTGAATTTCAAAAAAGTTTTACGGAGAAAAGCTGTTTCTAATTCAATTTTACACATGACTGTTGCAACTTTTAGCTCTTCATATTTTTTGATTTTAATAAACATGGCTCCTGAATGATAAACAATACATCAACCTTTCATAAAACATGAGAGAAATTTGAAGCGGATATTTGTCGATAATAAGTGCGATTGGAAGTTGGTAGCATGATGAAACTACTAGAATGAAATAGTTTTGTGTCTGTTAATTTTTTTTGATATGACAGACATTTCGTAGAAATTGAAAAAATATCAAAAACAATAAGTGGTACTAGAACGTTTAAATTCGAGACATATATGTGACATTGGAATAAGTAGAAACAACTTTTCTTCGTGAACTTTTTTGAAATTCGAACAAATAAGCCCATTTTCAGCGATCAATTTGAAAAATGTAACTTTTGATATTCCTATATATGCCGACTTTATGAATGACACTGTATGATAGACGTGAAGATTTTAGAGGAAGCCTTTCGAAATGAGTGGTCAATAATTCAATATTTCATGAGTGGAATACTTATACCGTTTCTCCATATCTTCCCTATAAGTACGTACGATGTTCTTCGAACATAATAGGGATTCCCTTTCGTGCGCTTCAAGAGATAAAAAAATAGTTGAATCTGAATCTTTTGGTTTTAGTTGCATGTACTACATATAATTCTAACAATATTGACATTGACGCTGAGTAAGTATTTTCTTTTAAACTATAGTAATATGTTGGGTTTATAGATTCAATTATAGCAACAATTAGGAATTAACAATTAACAATAATCAACAATTAATAATTGTGAGGATGGTTTATACACATCTGATATTAGGAATCAGATGTGAAATGTCTATTGATTGATGATCAAAATGATGTTAGAAAGTCCAGTGCCGGATTTATACTTTTCATTAGTATATAAAGGCCACTTCGTACGCGTCGCCACTTCATCTTTCCTAGAAATCATCACTTACTCATATAGGTCTTTAGATGCCAACCATATTAGGACCAGATCAGATCAGATCAGACTCAGACCAGATCAGGCTTAGACCAGATCATACTCTTACCAAATCAGACTCGATCAAACAAACACTTATTGGACACGGCTGTAGATAAAATATAGAATCCTGATCCTGACATTTTTGGCTGTAATTTGTATTGTAGAATTTCAACAAGTGATCGAGCAAGAAGAAACATGTATCTTTAACAAGTCCAAGTTGTCTTGAACGAGATGAATTTTCTCACAAAATTATATAAGCTATTTTGTGTTTTTGTTTCTAATATTGCGTTGAAAAGGATGTTCCGCAATTTCAGCATTGAAAAATGAGATAAACGAGAGTTACAACCTTACGATTTTTTTTGTACAAAATCATCAATAATATCATCATTTGTGTTCGTTATGACTGTTTGTTTGCATAGAGAGGGGAAGAGTTAAGTTTTTTTTTTGAGATAATGGTAATAGTTACTTCAATCGGTTTGAATATGAAAACCTCCAGACCAGATTAAAATTTGTGGCCGGAGTGCAAAGCGCTATGCAGGAAGCTATGTCCAAGTTCGGGTATATACACGCTTTCTTTACCATCTTATTAGAGGAAATGTGGCTGTGAAAGTGTGCACATTCCTGAACCAAGTGATCCGCTGAACAATGTTATAAAGTTACAAAAGAGAATCAGCTTTTTTATGATTTTTTGTGCTGCTTAGGATATGGCGATTTGTTGCTAGATTTTGAGAAAGGAAAATAACTTGGATACAACAAATTAACCTGTATCATAAAAGGTTAGTTCGTTGTATCGACGATTACTCAGAAAGCTGCTGCCCCTAGGCCGCGGCCTATATGGCCTATTGGCAATTCCAGGAATGGTTCTTGTCACTTTCCATACTAGTTATGTAATATACTATTTCCTTACCCTGATAGCACACAACACAACGTCCTAGGGACGTCCCTATTTGGTACAATTCAAGTCCGAAGTCCGAGTGTCCTTGGGACGTCCCATCCCGTACATCTCATGCAATGTCCGAATAGTACATATTCTGGCATTACTTCCATGAAATGTCCCTGATGATACATTCCTTCAAATATCTCTGCACATATTAGGCCCTTCATATTTCCAGGATCGTATAACAATCGAAATGTCCCTTAAGGACATCCTTTGAATGTCCTTTAGGGATATTGGTACATGAACTGTACTCTTCCAATGTCCCAGAAATAACGTCCTACGGACGTCCCAGTCGGAACTTTCAGTGTGTTGTTCCAGTGAGGACGTTAACTTACACCTCGCCGACGAATGATTGTTTGTAGGCTATAAATACTCCCAGTCAATGTCCTTCACGTAAGTCTATTGGACATCCTTATTGGGGCACTTTTTCAGGATCTATTGGGGACCTTCTACGGACCATCAACTCAACTGGATGTCCTCATCAGTTATGCAAGATCTGGTCCTAGAGGGGCCCAGAAAAGTTCAAATTCAAGAATATTTCGTACGTCCCTGGGACATCCTATGGACATCCAATTGATATCCCTCAGCGTTGCTGATAGGTTGTCCTACGGATGTCCTAATAAGGATGTCCTCCGTAGTGCTTGATGAGGAATACTGTAGGATTTAGGTATTCGATAGTTGTCCAATGGACGTCCACGGTACCAAATTCGAACGTCCTATGGACGTCCTGAATGTCCCGACAGGACGTCCTAAGGATATCCATGGGACATAAATGTGTTATTAGGGTAATACGAATACAATTTATATAAAGAAAAGAAATAATACACGTCCTTCCAAAAGTTTTCGCACGAAGTTGGCATAGATCATGTCCGAACTTTATCCTAGAGCATATGGACCACAATAACAACCACTTGCTGCACGCGGCGCCCCAACCCCGCACCGTCCTTGGCGTCCTTCCCTCGGCAGACGGTCGCCCACGCAAAAGTGAGTCTTTCCTTCCCCCACCCCTGCCGCGGGCATCGATTTTCGCGCCCTCCTTGCCCCTACCCTAGTCCCTAGTCCATTGAACATCTGCAGCGCGTGAATTCGCAACGTCCTTGATGTCGCTAGCCGCCAATGCGACCCTTCAACCCTACGAATTGGAATTGGTGTCGGTGCATTCCTGATTTTTATTTTTCTTTGTCATCGAACACGGTTTAAGAATCCGTGAAGTCGGAGCGAGGTGTCAGTTTTACCACGCTTTCATTAGTTCCACCTGTATGTATGTAACAGACTCCATTTTTTAACATGCTTTTTAACCCACTTGATATATAATGTCCTAATGGCGGTTCCAAGATGGCGGACGAGTTTTGTAATTATGATCCGATTCTATTCAAAATTGATATCTGGGAGGTATTTGAGGTCGGAGATTATGATTCTTTCGGTAAAAATCCAAAAATTCACGATGGCGGATCCAATATGGAGGACGAGTTTTGTAATAATGATTCGATTTTATTCAAAATTGGTATCTGGGGGTTTTTGGGGGTCGGAGATTTTGATTCTTTCGTCAAGATTCGAAAATTAAAGATGGTGGATCCTATATTTTCTTTCAAATCACGATTTTCTACTTATCGGAGCTATTGATGAACGTTCAAAAATTTGCAGTCAATTTGAATTTACTTTTTCCCGAGGCTGAAAATGAGAGCCAATTCTTTCAATTTGGTATTAGGTGATTTTTTGCATATGGAGGTTCGAAAGCATAATCATGTGGGACAATAATATAATGTTAGTTTTCTTGCGAAAAAAGTCCTAATATGATTTCATTAAAATCGACCCCTTTTATTTCAATAAAAAACGCGGCACTGTCCAACAAGATGTTCGTTTCTGAGAAGCTGATCATATTGATGATGGCAATTCATGCCGGTCCCCGGTCCCAATTTGGTGAAGATCGCACGCTGTAGATTCGTTAATGATGGATATTTTTTCCTGAAACTTGGCACAGATCTATTTCAAAAGACGCCGATTCCAGTGGTGTACGCGGATTTCTCCTGAAAAAAATCGCTAATAAGGATTTTCCAGCCTCTGAATTCGATCTAGTAGATAGTAATAGTAGTAATAGCCTTGGTTTTTGAAAAAAATTCACGCCACTTGGCTGTAAAATATACCTTTCCCCCTTCTATATCCCATAAAATAATTCGTTGAAATCGCTCCATAAATAAAAAAATTATGAGGGTTGCCCGCTTTCAAATGGGTTACTCTGTAAATATATACACTGTTGGTGACTTTTGTTGTGCTAGTTCAAGCCAATAACAACGTCTCTGAGAAAGAACTGCAGGCCTTTGATCTTCCATTCCCCTTCGCGGTAACGTAAATTAAGACTAAACAACCAAGTTCGCAGTTTTAGATTCGCAGAATTAGACTGACAGATATTTGATTACTTCAAAAGAATGATAAAGATATATACCTGCAAAATGATGCCGTTTCTCTTTTCTTGAGACACAACAGAACTGTGTATCTGAGTTGCTATGTTTTTCTGTTACTTCATGAGTGTGTGTAGCTTCGGAAAACATGTCATATTTGAACGAGGTCTTCGTAGATATTACATAAGTTGAAGCAGAATATTTTCGTCACCAACGACACACTTTATGTGTATCATAAGTTGGGGTCAAGTTTTTATGTTTCAGAAAAACTACTGTGATCCTCTCTCAATCTTTTCTAATACAGAGGGAGTTCATTTTCGGTATTTGATAGAGTATCAACCCTGTTGGTATTCGAAATCGCTAATTCTTGTTCATACAATTTATTGTGATTTTCACCGGGTCTTATGTTATTTCAGGTGAGGAAATCTTAGTGATCTTTGTATTTTGTATCATATTCAATGCATTGATAACTGTGAAATTTTCAAATTTAATTGTTGAGAGTATGATTTTCGGCACCACTACCTTTTTGCTATGAACACCGAAAATCATTTTATTCTGTAGGGCACTACAGTGTGTTATGTTATTTCAGACGAAGGTGATACCTATGGTGATACTGAACAATTTCCCGCAAAACTGCCAATGAATAATAAAGGCCAAAACTCCGCCTCTAATTCCGAATTATTTTTCCAACCCCACTCAACCCCTGAGACGTTCCGGGTCAAAGTTATTAGGAGTTTCATCGTCGTTCATCTGCGATATGTTTTCTGAAGAAGACTGTACATTGCACGGGCAATTTATTTTTCATATTTTCTTTCCACAATATATTTTTTTCACGTCTTGTATTGCTGCCTGGGCTCACATTGTTATGAAACTGTAATGTTTTGATGAACAATAAGCTATTGATTGATTAAAAAACACAATTCGAGCAGAAATCAGTTTTGGAAGAACTAGAAATGGAATACAAGTTTTCCCAATCATAATGAAGGACATTGGTGTTCTCTCTCATTGCCTCTTGTCCTATTATGGTGGTTGTAGTTCTACTTGAAATTTAATGATCTTGATGTATTTAACAGCAACAGATGGAGGCACGATGCTGGGAGCTATGGCCGGCCTTGGCGCCATCTTGCTCGTCTTCCTGCTCTACGCCAAGAACAAGGGTTGGTGGTGGACGCCCGTCCGAAGCATGGCATGCTGCGACGATGCGGCTTGCCCCCCCGTTTTGACCCGAACACTACCGACACCTTCACTGCCTGCTTCTGTTCCGTATTCGACCCCGAATGCCAAGCTGGGTGAGTTGCTCGGAAGAGAGGACGATGGATGTCTTCCAAACTAATTTTACATATCATTTTCCATATCATACGATTATTTACACTAACAAGATGAACCATCCATATGAGAGCAATGAAGCCAGAAATTCTATTCGGTAGGTGGTTATATGAGCGACAAGGTACTACTTTTTGTTGAGTAGCAAAGGGTATAGATCGGTAATGCAGAATATATTCCTAGATAGTTCAGCAACTTGCAGATTCTGCTGGAATAGACAAATCGGCCATATTTTGCTGAGTTCCGCTAACATCCGCCTACGAACCTGCCAATAATGGAGGAAACCACTGATTTTTCAAAACGAACATCATCTTGAGCTCTATACCAAAAAACCACCAGTGAATATAATTTTGAATTGTATAATTCATACTATGACGATAAAATAAATTAAAATACGTTCATTTCAAAACACACACTTCCTGCGCCATTTGAAATAATGTCAATTCATTGGTGTGCCTTGTCTGACGTAATAATCACAACACACCTATTGTCCTTGAGCTGACCAATCACACGGCAACACTACAGAAAGGCTAGGAATAAGAGAGAGATAGCTTCAGTTCGAAGTTAATTCGTTCAAATCTGGCTTTTTGAAACATATCGAATGAAATATGCTAATTTCAAAATGCTATAGATTCGATTTCCTCCAACTTCAAGTTATAATATTGATTGTAAATCATGATTTATCGATTGAAAGAGTTTTGGACGGATTTCATCCCTCAGGGCACCGAACATAAACTTAGGTGCTCAGGGGTCTTCTCTATATTAGGCCAAATTTGGCTCCAACATTTTATATGGAAGAGGATCATCTTGTTAGTGTAAATATCACCCTGAATCCACTATTATACAGTGTGATCTATAGATCGTTTGCCAACTCGTTACACATAGGGCATGTGAAATAGCAACATAGCAAGAGAGACAGAATCTGCTATCGGCTGCAAGCCGTTGACAGGACACGCATCGCTAGGGCTAATAAGGCCAACACCAGTGTTGCCAGGTCGGGAATGTGATATATAAGCGGTAGATCTGACATAAAAAGTGGTTGATTTGAAAAAGGAACTGCATATCTAGGTTGAAAATTGCCGTTCGATTTTTCAATAAATTCTTCAAATGATTTATTGATATCACATTTGTCAATATCCATAGCAGTCACAACCACGCAGATACGATTCCAAAATCGAATAAAAAATTGATGCTTATGAAATTTTCAACAAAAAATTACACTACTGTATGTGAAATATGATCTCCTGAATCCGGAAATGTGAAAATATACAGGCTGTGTCACTTGCAAATCGAAAGTCGAAGTCATTTCCGGTGAAACCGAAAGTGTCTCGAAGAACAAAATTATATCAGTGAAAGCAGAATAAGATATTATATGAACCCTCCAAATTTAAAAATTCTAGCTCGAAATAATCAAAAGTAACAGGCGGCGGCCCTGTTCTCGTCACCATCCGGTATAGTTCTAATAAGTTAATGCTAGACGAAACTCGATTTTTGAAATTCATTTTATCTGATAGAGCAATATGTGCTCTCTGAATCGAGTTTCTTTCAATATGCTCAATATCACTCTATCTTTCGTATGTTCGTATAATTCATGACAGAAAGTGTTTTTTTATATTGATCGCTATAGCTTGAGCTTGAGGTTATGAGTGATCGATATTTGTACGATTCAAGGTCGCTTCAACCTTCAACATACAGACAATTGTCATTCTTGAATAATCCATGTGGCCATATACCTATATTAAGTTCATAGGTATACTTTGTAGACGTCATTCATACAACACTTGGATGAGGTTTGAATTATTAAATTTCAGGATTTCATTAATAAAGAGTGATACACTTAATTGTTTTGAACATGCCATTGACATGATACGATATAGAGTGGGCTAAATAAAATTCAGAGGTGTTTCACAAATTCAGAAAAGGCGTTTTTGAAGTAATTTGTAACTTATTAAAAGTGGTATAATTTTCGTTTTTTTACTACTGTTGGGAAAATATGTGTTCTTGTGGAAAAAATTATATACACGGTTTTTCACGGACGATATATATGGAACAGAATTATCTGGAGAACCGAATGACAGATCATTCCGAAAATTTGTGGTCGTGGATAATCAAGCATGCTCTATCAGAAGTGCCTAAATCTTTCGAACCACTCCCATCACGTGATATGTTGAGATTCGTGTTTTTTATGCTTATTTTTCGCAATAAAATTGTGGAAGCTGAGTTTGGTTAGGGAGTTTTATTCTGGTCCACTATAAGAGCATGGCGTCAGCCCACTGTGATGATTTGTGTAGTGATTTAGGCTTTCAAGGATGTTTTTCCTTCCTCTCGAGACCCAGAACAATGAAGCGACAGAATTATCTCGAATATTCAGAACATCGTGATATTACTTATGAAAATATTTTCATCTTCAGGAACTGATAACACTCAAACACACTAGCCAAAATCGTGACAGGCTTTCACTTTCAATTTGTATCGAGAATAAGAGATAACCTCTCTCTTGCTTGATCACTGACACACAACCTAGCCTACTGTGACTTATACGAACTCCGCTTCGCGTCGTTCTCTCTCACTCACTTCTCACACTTTTTTATGTAAATAATCAGTGTATGCGTTGTTATAACTTGTTGAATTTCGGAGCTCATTTCAAACGTACCGTCATGGCCACTATTTGGCGATACGTCGAATAAATGATGACGTCAGTTTTTATGCTGTTTTGTTATTGGTCTAATAATCTTATTCCATTCCCACTCACAAAGCAAGGTTGTCAAGTCACCAATTATAATCAAGTTATCAAAAAGATGTAAGAGCCCAGTCGTTGAATAAAACATAATAGGAGGAACCCATGATATTGATATTATAGTTCATTTTTGACTCTTTCGAGCAACCAGCATGTCCAAATATACTCCATACTCCATAACAAAATTTCATGTAAATGTTGGAGACTTGGCAATATTGTGCTGAACGCTGAGAAGGGACAAGGTCACGCCCACAAGTCGTACACGCGGTGTTGTAACGTTCACCGCTTGAAATTTCCTCTAGTTTGAATTAATATAATCACTATTTACACAAATGTATCATAAGTCACAATTCAAAAGGGAACATTTTGCGGCCATTGATTTTGTATTGCTAAATAGGATTATTACCAACACATAATTGAGAATTAATTGATGTTTGAATGTTGAATGACTAATATTTCTGAAGTTCTCAATCGTATTTCAACACATGGCAACTGTGCTATGGTCTGCCCCTACTTACGAAATCGTGACATCAATTTTTACTCGCGGTAAATTTCTATCTGTTTGAAAATTACCGTAGCATTATTGATGATTTTAGCACTTAAAAATCGACGAAAAATTCTGAAAAAATATGAAATCGAAAGGTATTCCAGTGATGATTCTATTTGAGAAATAAAAAAAATAGTCCACTCGCCAATTGCCAAGAAACATAATTTGTTTCTCAAAATCGAAGGGATATATTTGCATTTATATAACATCAAACAGCAACAAACTCTGTAGTTGAGTTCGGTTTTGACATCAGACTGCTCGGATCAATCTGTGTCGTTCGTTTATGACATCTAGATGTAGAGGAAGGAAGTAAATCTCATCCGTTCGGCAATTAAAATCGGAGCGATCCGACGACGATCTTCGTGCTCCGAGAATTTTGACCGAGCAAAGCGATTAATATGAATTTGTGTGGTCAAGTGTTCAAATGTTAAGCGCGTTGTATTATTTTATTATTCACTTTCTGTGAATTTCTTGAGAAAATTAATGTTGAACAACACACTAACCATATAAATCCGTTGAGTAATATGTGTCTTAACAAGAATTAAAATACTTTGAACAGATCTGTCATGACAGCGCTCTGCACCGTTCGTTTATTCCAATTAATCTTTCTAATCCGTGGTCACATGACAAATAAATCCCTCGCATCTCTGATGGAATTGCCCAACTCGACTCGTATAACCGCACCTTCTCGTCGTTTCCAGCGAAGGCCTACCCCATCGACGGCGCAGACTCCAGCTCGGAGTCGGAGACGGGCGGGACGGGCAAGCTGCGCGGCCCGCCGCCTCCGGGCTCCTGCCGCCCGCCGCGGGGCCCCGACCTCGTGTCGCTGGTGGAGAAGGGCCGCGTGGGCATGAGCAGCAACAGCTCCTGTTGCAGCTCGACGGCCAGTTCGGTGGGGGAGCGGCACGGGTTGGCCGCCGACATCCTTTCTAGGTGGGTACACTATAAAAACAGATATGTAAAATTTCACAGTCTTATCTGTATAATGCATTTACAGTCCCTGTACCGTGAAGATAGTACATAACTCTAATAACACAACTCGATCCAATGGACGTCCTATGGACATCCTCCTCTGGACATCTATAGTACATCCAGTTTGTGTTCACTGGATGACGTATGGACATCCATAGGATATCGCGTTTCCAACTTTTTAGCTATCCATATGGTATCCGTCATGGACATCTATATGGTATCCGTCATGGACATCTATATGGTATCCATTATGGACATCCAACTTTTCAAGTTCACTTTTGCACTATTATAGGCACTCAATTTCAGATACATTCTTCTAGTTGAAATTCCTCGACATCTTCATCAACACATCCTGGAATGGCTCGCTTCACTTCAAGTGATCTATTTATTCTTCGACCAAAATGGCATGACGATAAAACACAAGCAATTCGTCATTCACACACAAATATTCAGGAACAGATTATTACAATAACATCACTCAATACAAATTCGAACGAATTATGTAAAAATATTCAGGACGCTATCTGAAAACGATGAGATTATCAGTGTCTGAGTAGTCTCAGATATTTATCAATGCATTAACGTTAATAACAATAACAATGGCAGACAGCATCATGGCTCGTATCACACCTCTGACACGGCTGACCCTGTGGACATGTGAGCATGTGGTCACCAAAAGAGCCGAACGATGTCGATGATACCCGAGACGATTGTGTTGTGATACATCATTAGAGGGGACATGGAATGGATACCAAATGGATAACTTCAGCTGGACATCATATGGATAATTTCATGAGGACATCCTATTGTTGTCCAGATTGTGTCCATGGACACTTTGGACACATAATATGGACACCATATATATGGATTACTTTACCTGGAAATCCATTGGATATCTCCATGTGGACATCCTATTGTTGTTCAGAATGTTTCCATGGACACCTTGGACATATAATTGACACAATACGGAAATCCAATGGACATCTTGTGTTATTAGGGATAATTTTGTATTCCCATGTAAGCACTCTTATTCGCATAACACTCGTTGATTGTAATGTCCGAAACATGTACCAATATACTGCCTTATTACTTCCCGATTCATAGGTAAATATTCGGTATTTTCACATGAGTATTTTGATTCCAGTAAACCATTTTGTGTTTCTGAAACGTTCCTGAAACAAACTCTGTAATATGAAACATTTCACCTATATACTCCGAAACATTTATGAGACATGCCGATGTTGCCAGAGTAACCACCCGTCTTCATTGGTCACACTCGACCATGTGATTCATTATAGCCAATAAAACGGAATCATGAACCTGGCAACGTCATCATACGAAGTTTCAAAATATGTGGTTAACGTTTCACACTCGATAGTTTTATATCATTTCTGAAATGTTTTCTAGAGGTTAATGTAGAGATATTATCGTTGACCCGTATTAGAGTACAATGGAAACGTTTCGAACATGATGAATTCTAAACAACTAGTAAACACCTGTATTGAAACATTTCAGAGATGTTTCACATTACGCATAACAACAGAGAAATATTACATATATGCCTACGTGAACATGGTGATGTTTCAGATGACACGTCTAGAGATTCACTTGAGACATTTCAAGCAGAGAATGTTTCCCTTATGTCAACTCGAATGATTGCAGCATTCGCCTACGGCTCAAGCTGCAAACTTCATTCTCGTGGAAAATCACTATCATTCGGTGTTCGTTAAACAATATACACTAATTTTCTACGGCTATGACACAAGATTGCTCTTGTTTTACTGTGTTCGAATCATCAATGAGGTACTTTGTATGTCATCAATTTTATTCCCGTATATGATATCACAATGACTCCATTGTGTTATTATAAAAAAAAAAATAAAAAAAAAAAAAAAAAAAAAAAAATAAAAAAAATCGTTTATTGTCCAAACAGGAATATACCCACTTAGAGGACAGATTCAAAAAAATATATACAATGTTTGTTACTATAATGCTACAATATAACATGAGTAATGCGATCGCGATTTCATTTAAGGTGTCAAGAAGTAAATGGTGAAATATCTATATTTAAAATATCATTGATAATATTGTTAAGATTTGTGATAGATCGGGTTAACTAGAATCGTATGTACTGATATAAGTAAACAAAATTGCGTTTGAATCCATTCGAAATTAATCTTGATTGTTCAGTAGTATACATTTGAGTTGATTTTTAAATTGGCTTAAGGAGTGCGAATACAATTGTGTTGTGCTACAATATTTGTTGAATTCATTACACATAGAGTATATTGGTGAATTGGCCGATACATTAGTTCTAGGTGTATTGAGGTAAAAACATATCTGATTTCTAGCATTATGTCTTGGTACATGAAAATTCAGTTGGGATAATAATTCAGGACAATCAATCAGGTTATTGACTAGTTTGTACAAAAAAATGCATGAGTAATATGTTCTACGGCTTTCTAGAGATAGGAAATTGAAACGTTTCAGTAGAGCATAGTTGTCAAAGCCTTGATTAGGATATACTCCATCTAGTTTCCATGACATATACTTCATAATAATTCTTTGTACCGACTCTATCTGTTGAATATGTGTGTTGTAGTATGGTGACCAGATTAAAGAACCATATTCAAGTTTTGACCTAACATAAGCCACATATAGTGCTTCGAAGCATTTGATGTTAGTGAAATCTTTACAGCTCCTGAATATGAATCCTAGCATTTTTTTGGCAGATGCTGTTGTTTTGTTAATGTGATACGAAAAATTAAGTTTGTCGTTAAAGTAAACTCCTAGATCCCTGATGTTGTCCTCCTGCTGGAGGGGAATATTGTTAATGGTGTAATCGAAGTATATAATATTATTTTTTAGCGTAATTGTTATATATTTACATTTTTGTACATTCAGTGGTAATTTGTTTGTCTCACACCATTCATTCAGTCTATTCAAGTCCTGTTGAAGTAGTTCACAATCATTTGAGGTTTTGATTGATCTATAGATTTTCATATCGTCTGCAAATAAAAGCATATTGCTACTAATGACATCGCAAATATCATTTATGAATAGTGAGAAGAATAAGGGTGCCAGGTTACTTCCCTGAGGAGCTCCGCTTGAGACTTTGAATTCATATGATCGGTGGCCTCTGTATTCAACGTATTGTATACGATTTGCAAGGTAGGATTTGATGAAGACCAATAAGTCTGTGTCAAATCCAAAGTAATCTAGTTTCTCGAGAAGCAAGAGATGATCAAGTTTGTCAAAGGCTTTCGAGAAATCTGTGTGTATTACATCAAGTTGAGAGTTGTCGTCTATTGTATTACATGCCACTTGAGATAAGCACATAAGATTTGTTATTGTTGATCTTTTTGAAATAAACCCGTGTTGTTCAGTATGTATCAAGTTTCTTACTTTGGGAAATATTCTATTATATATCGATATTTCGAAAACCTTTGCAAAGTTTGATAGAAGAGTAATCGGTCTATAGTTTGCAACGTTATTTATGGAGCCCGATTTGAAGATGGGGCATATCTTAGATTTTTTCCAAATATCTGGGAAACAATTCGTTTTCAAGGCTAAATTGAAAATAATTTCAAGAGGTTTTGCTAATACCGAGGCGCAATCTCTCGTTAGGAAACTTGGGATCCCATCGAGACCACTTGTTTGTTTCGGCTTGAGTTTTTTAAGTGCTTCTAAGCTTTCTATCAAGAAAATCTCATCGTTCATGGAATGTCAAATTTTCAGCAATGACAGCTCTGTCTAATAGATGCATGAGTATTACTTGACAGGAAATCAGAGGCTACAAGACGAAGAAAATCGAAAATGCCGCTGTTATCTATTATAGCCGTAGAAAAATTATAGTGTGTAACTTGCACGGAATGCAAAGTCACTATCATTCCGTGCTCGTTAAACAATATACTAATTTCGACTCTAGTCTATTTATACATTTGTCTCTATACTATTGTCGATTTTTCTAACTTATTTGGAAATCACTGGGTTCTTTATTTCCAGAGCGATCGGAAATTTGCCAATATTTATGTGCGTGAATATCAATCAATTAATAAAAAATATATACTTCATTGAAGAAGAATAAAAATTAACGCATTTTTCTCACAGTTCAATTTATATTTTCCAGGACTCCAAGTGACTTGCGGGAAACAAAAATCGACAATCGTGGCATAGATTATCAAATGGAACACACCTCTGCGCAATTTGAAAGAATAGACAATAACTGCAATAGAGACGTAAGTACTATACTAGTATTATTAGTATATTGTGATTACAATACATGTGCATGTTTAAATAATCACCACAGCGCATGTAGGTACACGCCACGATTGTATGCAAAGTATATAGTATATCGTGATACAAGTAACACCATAATACGTAATTCCATGCGCGGAGCGGCGAGTGCGTAATTCCATGAGTGCGTAATTGCTTTACAACACGCATTAAGTACTATACTTTACCTACTGCCATATAGTCAAAAAAGTTTGGACTAACAGTCTGAATTATAATTCTTGACAGTTATGTCATCCGCTGTTGACGGCGATTACGCGATCATGACATACCTATACTGGCGGAATAAACGAAAACTGTGCGATGTGCTTACTGTGCGTAAAGAGCTACTTACTGAGGCTGTATCTCGTGTGTTCTTGCCTACTTTCTATAGTGGCCGTAGGTAAAATAATTGTTCAACATTACCCCCCATTTTTTCATCACATATATATTATGGTTTTTTTCAAACTTCAACAAAAACCAATTTGCATACATTTACGAACCGTTGGAAATCATTAATTTTTAATGCAAATTCAAATGTGATTGGTGAAATATATGTGTTGATAATCGTAAACATGCTGTTTTCGTTTTTGTATTTCGGCTGTTGATTGGCTACTGGATACCTAAATGGCAGTGTTTCCGATTTTGTATTTCTCTTAGAAAAGACTGTCGGACATGGATGTCATAATATTTTCATATTCAGGGATAAATAGCACAAAACACTAAGTCGCAGACGAAATGGTGATAGGAACTGAATTTTAATTTGTATGCATGATCGGAATTTTAAAGAAAACATTTCCTTTATAAACCATATAACCTCTAATAACTTGACACTATGACACTAGCGTCTAGAGACTGAACGCATCAAATATTGCGATCGATTTCGGACAATGACGATAGCAATCACGATGTAGGGAAGATCCATCGTGATAGCAATCGATGTATCGGCACGTATAGTTAGTTGTATAACCGACTGTAAATGATAATATGACATGAAATATTATTTTATTCATGAAATAATGAGTGAAATAATCTCAACAGATACAACTCGCTTCATTGATGATTATCGAAAATCCCTAATCTTTTTCGAAACAAATTATGTTGCAGGCAACCACACTCGCGCTATGCTACATAATTTGTTTCTCAAAATCGAAGAGATTTGTATTTCGGTAATCATCAATACACTTGTTGTATTACATACGATAATCGCCTCTCACTTTTAGTGCATCGTAGTGATGCACCCGGAAGTAAACGACCGTCCCTGCGACCCCATCCCGGGCGTAGATCTGGGAAAAAATCTGCTTTGCTTTACATAGGCTCTGGGAGGAAATGATAGGTACTCATTGAATATCGGGTATTGATTACTGTCGGGGAATCGGTATAGCACATTTACTCAAGTCTTAGTAAAATATAATGGGTTGCGTGCAAGATCTGTTAGATGATTGACCCTGGAGGTAAAACATCGTAACACAACCTCACTCTCCTTATTTGTTTGCAGAGGATTGAAATAGTTTTTCACAATTATTTCGGCATTAGAATCGAGTTTTTCGGTTATTCATTAATTCAAGCTGCATTTTTTGCGCATTGTACCTCTACAGCAACACAATTTGATGACATGCTTGAATTATTAATGAATTGCACAAAAACACTACTCGTATGCCAAGATATTGTGAAAAACTATTCCTTTCCGTTGATTCCTTTGTGAACAATTAAGGAAAGTGAGGTTGTGTTTCAATGTTTTACCTCCAGGGTCGGTCATCGTGCACGTGGCCTATAATTATGGGTTCTGTTGTGGTTCTCGCCACTTTAGTGATTATTCCACTCATTTCAAAATATACGCTTTTGATTGGTTGAAATATATGTATTGATAATCGAAAACATGATATTTTCGTTTTTGTATTTCGGTTGTTGATTGGCTACTGGATACCTGCATGGCTGTGTGTTCGATTTTGTATTTTGCATAGAAAAGACTGTCATAAAATTTTCATATTCAGGGATAAATAGCACTCAACACTAAGTCTCAGACGAAATGCGGTGATAGGCACCAAATTTTAATTTGTATCGAAGAATTTTATTTAAGTATGATCGGGATTTTGAAGAAAACATTTTCTATATCAACCTAACCTCTAATAACTTGCCACTATGACACTAGCGTCTAGAGACATGAGGCCTGTTCATTTGTGTTTGCTCTACCTGCTAAACTTAATTTTTTATATGACTTTTTCTGTTTACATGGGAACAAAATCAACTTTAGCAAGTTAAGCAGCACAAACGAACAGACCTATATCGTTGATTGATATATTACGCTTACGCTGGGTAAGCGTAATATATCAATCAACGCCTATATGAACGCATCAAATTTGCGAGCGATTTCGGCCAATAAAACCGTCCTGTCTGTAGTTGCTTGTCGACTGCTGGACAGCAATCGAGGTATCGGCACCATATACGTATTAATAATCAATACGGATAATCTCTATCTGTTTCCATAGCGAAACATGAAGCCGATTTTTGAAGACAAATGACTATTCATAAGGAACAGTTTTGAAACGATCAGACACATACTGCTTTGATTGAAAGGCTAGTAAACGTCATTGTCCACCGAAACGCATGTCTTTGATGACTACTATAATAGCGCATGGCGCATGCGTATCATGCCACCAAATCCTTATGGATATTCATTTGTTTCATATTTTTGGCTTCATCCTGGCACCCGTTATGATTGTTTATTAATACGTATATGATCGGCACGTACAGATAGTTGCATAACCGACTGCAAATATTATATTATCCATAATGAGTGAAATAGTCTTAACAAATACAACTCTTTTCATTGATGATTATCGAAAACCCCAACTCTTTGTTGTTTCTCAAAATCGAAGAGATTTGTATTTCGATAATCATCAATTCACATATTGTTGTATTACATACGATAATCATCTCTCACATTCAGTGCATCGTGGTGATGCACCCGGAAGTAGACGACCGCTCCTGCGACCCCATCCCGGGCGGCGGCGCAGGCCAGGAGTCGCCGTCGTCGGTCCCGCTGTCGGCGTCGACGTCCTCGGGCGGGGGCGGAGGCGGCAGGAGCGGCCATCTGGAGATCGCTTTGCTCTACGACGCGCCCATGCGTAAGATGACCGTCCACGTGCTGCAGGCGCGCGACCTGCCCGCCAGGGACCGCGGACAACCCGCACAAACGCAGGCGAGTTCACCGACTAGTAGTCCAATCGGATTACCGACAATTGGACGTGGTCAATTGGACGCACGAAAATTGGACGCGGATAATTGGACGCGGCGACAATTGGACGCAAGAAAATTGGACGCGGCGACAATTGGACGCGGCGACAATTGGACGCGACGAAAATTGGACGCGGCGACAATTGAGAGCATGCGAAAATAAAAATAATTTTATAATTCCAATGAAATTTATTGCATGGAATATGCAGGGCTCATATCTATAATATAACAAACACCTAACCTAACCTAACTAACCTATTGTACTATATTCGTATCGTAAATTCATATTACGATATCCCAGCCAACCATCGTGTGACATCAACATCTGTGTGATGTAACAACCTTGCATAAATGCAATATCTCGTTAACACATCTTATCGACGTAGATTCGATATCAACGTCGCAAGGTGACATCGCAACCAGGAAACTATTTAATGTGGCAGCGACTTCTTCAAACTACATCTCTTCGACGTTAACTAAATAATTCACATTGACATCCTCATGAGATATCTTTGTGACCTGTGAGTGTGACGCAGACATGCGCAAAACGAACGCATACGCCAGACGCCATGTTGAGCTGTATATGGCCATGTCAGTCAGTCAGTGAGTGAGTCCGACTCCGTACAGACTATTTCCTTTCAAATTCTCCGTTGATATCTGAGATGATTTATAGCACATATTATAGCAGCTTCAAATTGGAGGTATACAATCATTTAGGAACGACGGTGAGTTCAATCACAATAGGTAATATTGTAATTATCTCTGAGATAGGAATATTGCAATCTAAAACAAGGTGGATGAAAGATCCCAAGATATAATGTAAGTGTATTTGATATGTATCATTATTTATGAATAATGTATATTTGTATTACTATATATATGTGTCATGTTTTGCTTCAAGATTACTAATTAGGGTGATTGTCATGATAAGTTTTGTATCATCTGTTTTTACTTTCGGAAAATAAACATTTTCTTCGTAAAGTTGAATAATTATTATTATTATATATCCCACGAATATCACAGTTACGGCGACCACATCATCGATGTCGCAGTGTGTAATATGAAATGTACCTACGCTTGTATGTGACCTGGTAGTGATTTTTCATGTGATGTCGCATTTCATGTCTGAACGACGTCACAGTGATGTTGCTTGAGTCGAACATTTTCACATCGCCACGTTGTATCGGTAACATGTTTGTGACTTCAAATGCGATATCGCATGTCTCAATGTGATTTGGCGTATACATCACTTATACATCTCATGGTTGGCTGGGATGAGATAAGAAAATAATTGTCATTCGAGGCCATAGGTATTTGTTATAATTATGGATATAAGCCTATCAGTATTTCATATTTTATACAATGAATTTCATTGGAATTATAAAATTATTTTTATTTACGCATGCGTCCAATTGTCGCCGCGTCGAATTGTCGCCGCGTCCAATTGACTGCGACCAATAGTCGTGCGTCCAATTTTCCACGTCCAATTGACGCGACACCAGTCCAATCATTTGGTAGTTTGGACAGGAAAAAATTACTAAAGTATTCTTCTCAACGGATCCATATGTTCTTTGGGATGCTGAATCTGAAAATTCAGTTATCGACTAGATTCGGATATGGCTTCACCATGAAAATGGCAGAATATTATGAAAAATCGGGAGTTGTTTTAGTTTTTCGCTCATAACACCGAAACGACTTGATATAGAGAAAAATAAGCAGAGATGAAAATGGAAGCAAATGAAATTTACAAAATAAATAAGATGAAGATCAGCTCCCTAACTCATCTGGTTCAGCCGCTAGAGGGCGCTGAAGATTGTCCATAGTTTTCAAGTTATTAAAAATATTCGTATTTCAGACTTTCAAAGCATACAGTCTGTCCACGGAATCTGCACCCTTCGTTTATTGGGTCTGAAGTCGAAATTGAATCCATGATATAGGTCTGCTTGTAACAGACACTCATGGTTGTGATAAAAATAAATATACAATCATCAAAAAATTCATTTAGTGCAATTGAGGCAGTAAACGGTCGATTGCGGGAGGTTCATTTCTTTCGTGGCCTTTTCGCCTTGGGAGGCTCTTCTTCTGAAATACAGAAGAGACCTATCAATAAACATCTATATTTAATGTTTGTTGTGACTGGTGATGTGTTGGTTTGATGAACAGAAATATTGATACCTTCAGTTTCATACGAGGTTCCTGGCAATTCCTCAGTAGCCTCCTGCTCATCATTCCCGATACCAGAACTATAGGCAGGACATCTGAAAAATATCCCAATTACATCGTTTGAGTGATTGTGCTCAAGAAAAAGTAGTCGAGCTATTGAGTTTTGCAAGAAAATATTCACATATGTGAACGATTAATTACTTTCTTCACCAACAAAAACCTGCACAGCCTCTTCGTTCTCATCATCCAGATCGTCGTTATAGTTGGAATACATCTGACTGTTGCTGCAATAGAGACCTCGCAGCATTTGCACATTTTGGAACAGAACAACCCGGCCTTTTCGCAGCCGCAGTTTCCTTTACAATCTTGTATGCATTTGCAGGCAACAATATGCAACAGCTTGTCTGGTGCACACGGTTGTATGGTTGCTTTTGGCATCAATTCGTTGTTTGTCAAGTACCATCCCCAGAGTAAATAAGTGTTTTTGGTGTTGCCAAGCCATGCCTGAGCTTGGTGATATACCCTGCGGCAGTGCTGGTGTGCAGCGGACTCTGTCGCGCAGCAATATTGAAACTCGTCTTGAATGTAGACTTTACATATCGCTTGTATCGCTCAGCATTGAGTGATGCTTCAGACCGTGTATCACCGAAGAGAGCGACGAGGTACTGCTCTCCTGATTGTTGAATGGTCTCGGGATCGCAGACAGAGGTTTTGATAGCCGTCAGAAAAGTTCCAAGAGCAGAGTTGTTCATGAGAGTCTGTTCTGCTACAAGCGGTGTTACAGCATTGGGTGGGTGGTATAAACTTTCGATTGCACATTCTTCCTCCCATCAGGATTGGATAGAAAATAGTACTATAGCCACATTTTAGTTTTCGTGCTAGATTCAGAATGAAGCGTAATTGATGTATATTTGTGATTTGGAGGGGAATTAAAAATGAAGGCATAAAATAAATGTTGAGGAAGGAGGATACTCCATCAAAGAAGATTAACACTGAACCTTTGACTCCATGGTGAGACACACTAGGCAGAAACACTAGCCTGGCGATGTATATACAAATTTGAAATCTGAAATACGAATATTTTGGACAACTTCAAAACTATTGTCAATTTTCAGGGTGCTCTAGCGGCTGAATCAAACAAGATATCGAGCCGATTTGATATTGTGATTTTTATAGGCCTTCATTTTTGTATGATGTATTTTTGCTCTTAATCACGTCGTTTCGGAGTTATAAGCAGAAAATTAAAATAAGTCCCGAATTTTCATGGTTTCTTGCGATTTTCGTGGTGAAGCCATATTCGAATCTAGTCGATAACTAGATTCTCAGATTAAGCACCACGACAAAAACCATATAGATCCGTCGAGAAAAATTCTTTAGCAATTTTTTCCTGAATCCAGTGCTTTCTGTCACCAAATGACTGGATTATAGCGTCTGCTACGAAAGCGTAGATACGAAAGGGTAGAGGGCTCATGTTACGTTAAGTTGCAACTATCTGAATAGTTGTAACGGTCTAAAATATACAGTTGTAGCTGTCTAAATAAACAAGTTCTAATAACTATAAGTAACTAATACGAGCTGTGTGTATTGCGTGTATAACGCTTGTGGTAGTTTTTCTATAGTAAAATGGATGAAGGTTTAATTAGATTTTATTTCATTCTATCGACCGAGGTCCTTCTTTCCATTATTAGAAATGCCATGTTTGATGTTATATATGGTACCTCGTATTGTGATGAACGCGGGGACCAAAATTATTATAACTTTTATTATGAATGCACTTAGGAGGTAGAAGGTCGTTCAAGATAGAACAATAAACATTTAGGTATATAAACTCCAATTATCTTTATGAAGTGTTTAGCGGGCTTAGACAGAATTTATAGTTTAATAATATTATTACGGGAATGAATTCATTTCTTGAATCATAATATTGTTCTAAATATAATAATAATATAGGTTTATTATTAAGAACTTGCCATTTAGCCGTCATTGCTCAGAGAACAGATCAGAACAGTGTAAAGAAATTAGGAATTAAAAGTTTAAAAAGAGTGTACAGGAAATTCATGAACGAAGTATAAGCTCCAATTTGAAGGTCCTATTTTATATCACTACCTATTTATATTCACAAATAATGAATTAAATAATATGAGCTTATAAAAAGAGCTGCATCAAGCTAAAATTATAACCTATTTTTGAAAGTAGTCAGTTTTATTTCAAGTTATTAGGATTTAGGATTACTTAGGATTCAAAGTTATATTTCGGAGTATTTAACTTTCCCAATATCAACATATAAATAATTCAGTTCTATAATATTCCGATAATTGAGATTAAATTTTTATCACAGGTGAGGTTGATTTTACTACCCAGCAAGAAACAAAAGCACAAAACCAAAATAAGATCAGGCGAAAATCCTCAGTACATGGAGAGTTTTGTTCTTCATCGAGTTAATCCAGGTAAGAAACAATTTCTTGTGACAAGACAATTTCTATGAGATTAATTGGGGTGTCCTATTTTCTGTACTAATCACAAATAATTTGATGAAGCTTGATGTTATTTCAAAAAGGTTGAGTCGAATATTTTTTCAATAGAACCATTACGCCATTTTTAGCCTTCTTCTACTTTCTCTATCATCATTTGGTTCCTCCAAACCCACTGGTTGTGATTATTTTTCTGTGCTTATTGAAAAAAGTCACTGCAGTCACAAAAATATAAATGCAAGTAGTTAAAACTAAGAGAGCATGACTACCAGCATAGGGAAATACATGCTTTAATCTTAACTGGAACGCGGCCTGTGTTCTAGCGGGGAAGCGGGGTAGCGGGAGCGCGATGGTGTGACATCATCAGTGACAGGGTGTTTGAGTTGAATAAAAATTGAAAATTATATATACAGGGTGTCCCACGGTTAGACCACCCCACTTTAGGGGTAAATATTGAAGGATTGGGGAGTGTGGGTACTCTGAGAGAAGGATTTTTCGCGAACATTCCAAAAATGTCAACTTGCCTATATGCAAAGTCCCAAGGTTTACAAGATATCGCTCTAAATGCGTTGGAAATATCATATGAAATAGTCTCTTTGGATATGACATAGTAGAGCTAGTTTCGATTTTTTTCCCAGCGTCAAAAGAAAATATGAATGAGTATTGAAGTTGAATTGAAACAAATAACAGGAAATTACTGATAAGAAGATATTATAATAGAAAAACAAGTTTATCATTTGAAAGAAAAAACAAATTTTACAAGAAATGGGAAAAAAACAATCTCTTATCAGAAGACAACATATTATGTGAGAAACATTATGTTTTCATTCTACCACCTTGATATATAACAGCGGAGCGCTCTGACAAAATTCAGTCAACGTTCAACATCCACATAAATCAACACCTATAGCCACATCTAATAGCAATCTTGTGTAGTGCCAACTGCTGATACCTAATAAAAGTAAGTTTTTTTTTTCTTTATATTCACCTGGTAATGCAATTTCTTTAAGTAATTTTTTTGTTTTTATTTCTAAGAGCGAATAATATTGCATGATATGTTTTCTTTAATAATTATTTCATTGTTGATGTACATATCATAATTCATTTCGATGTTTTTCATATTGAAAAGTGAATGTCATTGTGTGTTTTCATCGATTCATTTCTTCGTGTACACATCATAATTCACTCATTCTATTTCAAACATTTGAAATGAAGAGATTTTCACTGATGTTGTTTGATTTCTGATTTTTAGGTATCACATTACAGTTAGACAGCCACATAAAATCAACACCTAGTCACATCTGATAGCAATCTTGTGTAGTGCCAAAACTGCCGATATCTGAGAAAGTGAGTTTTTTTTTTCTTAATATTCACTAAAGCATGATCCTGATGTTTGATGCAATTTCCGTAATTCACTTTTTTTTTTGTTTTTATTTCTAAAAGCGAATACTATTGCTTGATATCTTCATTTTTTTTTTTTTTTTGTGTGTACATTTCATAATTCATTTCAATGTTTTTCATATTGAAAAGTGAATGACATTTCGCGTTTTCATCAATTCATTTTTTCGTGTACACATCATAATTCAACCATTTAAAATGAAAAGACCAGTTCCACAATCTTTTCTTTTTAGATGGATCTGAATGCAATCAATAATGTTGGGCTGTCATGCAACAGGAAAGTGTTGAGGAAACTGAGCCAACTGCCCCTAGATGTACCACACCCCATTGTCGGAGTGCAAATTAAACTGGGAAAATACGGAGAAGCACCACTCGTTGAGTTGGACGATTGTAAGGTGTTTCTACCAGGCAGAGCGACCCAAGCCATCAAACCTGCGGTGGAGCAGTTTATCCAAAACAAGTACGCCCTCATCTACAAGGGACGAAAAAACTGCGGCCAACTCCATCCCATCGAGCAGTTTGAGATTGTCGAAACAACACCTCAATCACCAACATCATAAGCTATTGAGAATCAGAGTGTGAGTCATTTTACTTTGTCACTTTTCGCAAGATACATTTGTAAAGATGAATATCGCTAAACAATCAGATAACTTAGTGATAGCCATTAGGAAACTAAAGAAAATTTTGTTTGATAATTTCACTGATAGGGATGAAAAAATTTGGTTAAATCGCTTAAAGAGGTACATAAGATTATGTAACAATGAAATTAATAAGAATAAGATGTCCATAGGCTTGATGAGAAAGTTTCAAACGAATGTTGGTCATTTTAAGCATTTTCGCAATTTAATTCGAAATAGACATCGAGACAGTAGAGGGCTTGAGTTGAAAAATAGGGTTCAATGGAGAGATGTGGCATCAGGTTTTTCAAGTAGAATCAGAACGGGAATAATCATCAATATAACACATAAGGACTTGGAGCAATTTTTTATAGATGCATTCATTTTATTCAAAAATAAAATCAAAAATATATTGAAGGGATTTCCAATTATTAAAGTGAACGCTAATTTCTGTGGAGAATTCATAAAGAAATCAGATGATGCAGAAATTATCGAATTGAAATATTTCAACACTAAAAATGCCATTGTGGACGTAGGAACGGATTTACAACATTGGTACTATGATAATGTTCAGGATAAAATTTTGAATAAATTAAGTGAATTTCAAGAACGTGACTCTGGGTGGGCTTTGCATAAAATAATATCAATGGAAGTTAATATTAACAAACTTGAAATGGGAAATGGTTCATCCTTTATTAGACTGCCAGAACAAATTTCTAAAAAGCGAGCATGTTTGAATATAAAAAATACTGACTCGGCATGTTTCTATTGGTCAATCATAAGTGCCTTCTACCCAGCGAAAACACATAGGGAACGGACTTCTTCATATCCATATTACACTACAGTTCTGAAAACAGTAGATTTAGATGCACCCATGTCTCTACGTCAAATTCCAAAATTTGAAAAAGACAATAACATTTCCGTGAATGTATACACATTAGAGTTGAATTTAGTCAAGGAAAAATCATATTATACTGTGGTGCCAGCCAGACTTACAAAAAATAAATTAGAAAGGCACGTTAATCTATTGCTAATTCAAAACAAATATTATCCAAAATTAAATGATTATGAGGCTCCTCCGATTGATGAAGAAGATTCTGACATCAAATACCATTACTGTTTGATTCAAGATATGTCTAGATTAATATCAAGCCAAGTGAATAAACATAATGGTAAAAAATTTATTTGTGAAAGATGCATGAATTATTTTCAATGTGAACAAAAATTGATTGATCATCAAATGCTGTGTTCTGAATTGAACCAATGCAAAGTTTCATTTCCAAAATATGATCACATAGAATTCAAAAATTTCACCTACCAACAAACCACCCCCTTTATAATTTATGCAGACTTTGAATGTCAATTAGAACATGTGGATGATATGGTTTCATCAAAAACAAGCAAATATCAGAAACATGTGGCTCATAGTGCAGGCTATTATTTTAAATGTGATTTCGATGATTCCTTGTCGTTTTTCAATAGCCATAGGGGTGAAGATTGTATGGATTGGTTTGCAAATGAAATGTCGAAGATAGCTGAAATCGTGCAATCTAAAATCAAAACAATCGTGCCAATGACTGTTAGTCCTGACAAATGCAAAGCAAAAATCTGTCATATTTGTGAGAAACCATTCAGGGAGAAAGACATTATCGTAGCCGATCATAATCACTTTTCAGGCGATTTCAGGGGGTGGGCGCATCAAGCACCCTGTAACATAAATTTCAAGAAACTCTTTGTTGTTCCAATTGCATTTCACAACCTGATAGGATATGATTCACATTTCATGATCAGTCAATTGAGTAAAAAGGGTCGTATGAGCATACTTCCAATAAACATGGAAAAGTACATATCTTTCACTTTACATGATGACAATACAGGCATCAAATTCCGATTTATTGACTCTTTTCGCTTCATGGGTACATCCTTAGATAAATTATCTTCAATCATGGATAGAAATGATTTTGAAATTTTGAAAAAAGAATTCAGTCATTTGAATGACGATACATTCAACCTCCTCACCAAGAAGGGTGTCTTTCCCTACGATTACATTAGTTGTTTGGAAAAATTGAATGATACTGAATTACCTACAAAGAAATATTTTTATAATAAATTGAATGATGAACACATTAGCGATGAGCAGTACGCCCATGCTCAAAAGGTATGGTCATCATTCAAAATTCAAAATTTAGGGGAATATTCTGACTTATATTTAAAAACAGACGTTATGTTGTTGACCGCTGTTTTCGAGAAATTCCGGCAGAAATGTAGGACAACTTATGGGTTAGATCCAGCATGGTACTATACCATGCCTGGATATACATGGGATGCCATGTTAAAGTACACCAAATGCAAACTGGAATTATTGAATGACGTTGATAAAATCATGTTCATCGAGAAGGCATTACGTGGTGGTATTTCTGTTTGTAGTGGTAGATATTCAGAAGCTAATAACAAGTATATGTCTGAATATGATTCCAATAAACCTTCAAAATATCTCATGTATTTAGATGTAAATAATTTGTACGGTTGGGCAATGTCAGAGTCTTTACCATTCGGAGATTTCTCATGGATGGAAAACGTTGAAAATTTCAACGTAATGAATATTGCTGATGATGCTCTTGAAGGATATATTTTACAAGTAGACTTAGAATATCCTCGCGACTTGCATAACAATCACAAAGACTTTCCATTTGCTGCTGAACATCGCATACCACCCGGCTCAAAATTACCAAAATTAATGACAACACTTTACGACAAAAAAGATTATATTTTACACTATAGAAATTTAAAACAATGTTTAGCAAACGGACTGAAACTGACGAAAATCCACAAAATTTTGAAATTCAGGCAATCTTTTTGGCTCAAATCATATATAGATCTGAATACTTCTTTGAGGACTGCCGCAACAAATGAATTTGAGAAAAATCTCTATAAACTAATGAATAATGCAGTTTTCGGTAA